CAACGGTCAGATTTGGCTTTGGGATGAAAAGGCCAAAGTCTTTAATGATTTGTGGGGGCAGGGAGAACTAAGGTAGTCCATGAGTGGACGACAAGAGCCTCAAAAGTGGCAAGGGTTATTGCAGGAGAAAGGAGATTAATCGTCTGGAAGCATCAGTGAGATAAGAGATCACTAGCATGTGGGAAGTAAATATGCAGTCTTCGCCTAAGAGGGCTGCTGAGGAGGTGGCATCCTCAAGGACTAGCCCAGGCTTCATTTAAGGTGAGAAGTCAAAATGAAAGTTGAGTGGTGTTTGTTTGGCTCGTGTTTCTTCTCCTGTTTTAAGGTACTGTGAGGCAGTAGCACCAAAGAGCTGCTGGTCATCAAAGGCCGCCTTTGGAAGGGCATTTGCTAATCTTCTGAAGGGGCATTCCCTTGGTCCAGACCAAAAGGGACTGTTCTTTATAAAAACCACCTTGCCCCCTCCTAACCTGAATCCCCACATTGCTAAAACCTTGATAGCCATGACCTCAGAACTATCCGGTCGTGGTTGTGGCCCTGCTGAGCACCTCATGTTCATCCCCAACCACATCCTGAGATTTCGTTTTGTTTTCTCTTCCTTAAAGCATAAGTCAAAGATATAGTGTATATTATGCAATATAACTGAGCATTTATCCTGCTTCCTTTACAGCTGTCTGTCGATTCCCATGTCAGAATGGAGGTATCTGCCAACGCCCAAATGCTTGTTCCTGTCCAGATGGCTGGATGGGGCGCCTCTGTGAAGAACGTGAGTCTGGCCTCAAATCTCACTTTGAGTCCTGATTATTTGCCTGGAAGCTGTCAACTCAGAGTTGCTAGACACTGTCTTTACTGGTGGCAGGAAGTCATTCACTTATCCTCTAGCAGGCCAGACCAGGCAGCTCGGGCTAATCTGAACACATCAGTCTGTTGTAGGAGATTCTAGAATATTAGTGACCCTGAAAATACACTTATTTACTCAGGATCTTCTTGGGAAAGGAGCTTGTAATAGAGGCTTTCCCAGCCTTGGTCCTCCCTCATCTCAACCCCATGTATGTATGCACTGTGCCCCTCGTTGCTGCAGTTGTGAGTTCATGGCATTGCCTAAGATTGACTTTACAGCTCACCATGTACTCTCTTTGATTAAGGGCAGTTCTTTCCCATTAAGGAAATAAGGAAAGCTGGCACTCCTATACCTTTACAATGCTCACTAAATTAATTTGGAATTTTGATTCTCAAAGTAATGATACATTTCAATTTGAACTTCCCGGAGACTGTGAATAAGTGGTTTTACATGGTTTTTTTTAATGTCTAAACCACATTTTGTTTCAATATCTTAAAAAATATATTGAGGATAAAATGATTTCATGTTTCATTGAGAGTGGTATATGTAAATCAAATTAAGTCATTAATGTGATGGTCATTGGTCTTTATCAGTTTTTCTAAGGCCAGACATTTTATAAGATTCTAAAACTTTTTTAAGTGTAACTATTTAATCTAGAAAGGAAAATAGAAGATGACAATAGATTTGGGCCACTAACAACTCACCAAAGCAAGTATTCTCATGGTGATGAAGAAAGAAGAGAAATTATGATTTTTCCTTCCTCTTCTCCCCAATCATTCCTTCCCATTTAGGGCTCCCACACTTGACCTGCTATGATGGCAAGAATCCAAAGACTCAGGCAACATTTAACCTGGAGTACCCTAACAATAGGCCATGCTTAGCTCGCGGAGCATGTGCCTGCCCTTCTGGATTAGACCAGGGCTTCCCAAGCTTTAATAACGTGCACACAGATCATCTGAGAGATGTTGTTAAATGCGGGCTCCAATTGTGACCCAAGATTTTGCATTTCTAGCCAACTCCTGGTAATGCCACCACTTTTGGTTTGAGGGCCATGCTTTGAGTAGCAAGCCAAGAGACCATCTCACTCCTTTTAAACAGGCTGATGCCTCTCTAAACGGCTCAGTAATTTCTAATAGGAGGAATGCTGACCATGGAAGACATAGGAGAGGCCTAATTCAATCACCATCAGGCCTCAGCTTCAAGGAAACAACGAGTGAATTTTCCCATCACTGCTAATGTATCGCCTGCAGCGTACAGGACAGCCTGTCTGGTGCACACTCTCACATTTAATTCAGGGCAAGAAGAGAGCCTTGCAGCAGCCGAACCCTCTTAGAGTATTTTATGTAATCTGTAATGGAAACTTGAAACTGTAATAAATGGAGAACACTCTGCCTACTTTGTGAAGGGAAAGCAAAGCACTTAGCAGATATTGATTACAGTACGTCCTCTCCAAAAGAGCGAACTTGGCCTTGGTCCTTACAGCAGGCTAAGGGGCCAGAGTTTCTGTCCTAATTGCATTTTCCCAGTGACACTGATTAATAAACCAAACACATACGGGAAGATTCTCATACAGGTTTATACTCCTCCTGGATAATATTTTTTGAACACTTGAACATTGAGTGTGTGTTTTCTCATCATATCTCTTTTGACCTCCTTTCTAGCAATATGCATCCTTCCCTGTCTGAATGGCGGTCGCTGTGTGGCCCCTTATCAGTGCAGCTGCCCACCTGGCTGGACAGGGTCCCGCTGCCACTCAGGTAGGCCTCCTGTCATGCTTTGTTGTCTTGGTGACTTGGCACCATGGAGGACCCTTTCAGGGTCATGTGGGAGAGAAGAGCATCAAAGTTGACTGAGCTGTCAGCCTTCTTGATGTCATCTGCTGTTTTGCAGAATTTAAAGAAAAATGTTATGCAGAGGTTTAGAAGGGTTTTTTTTTTTTGAGTGCCAAGTTCAAGATGCTAGATTATGTCCTGTGAGCAATAGAAACCACCGAAGCATTTTTAAGCAGGAAGAACATGTAATCAGATTTTCTTTTAGAAAAATGATTTTGGCCGCAGGATGGAAAAATGGCAGAAAGCAAGACTTACAATAGGGAGACCAGTGAGGAAGTTATCAAAGCAGAATTGGCAAGAGTTAATAAAGTCTGGAGAAAGGATAACCCAAAAGGACATATTTGAGAGCAGTTAGGGAGCTGAATCAACAATACTTGGTTATAGGTTTTATTGTGGGAGTAAAGGTCTGAAAAGAGTCAACATTGGTATTTCCAATTCGGGTCCCTGAAGGGAAGATGTGCCATTTACTGAGACAGAGAGCCCAAGAGGAGCAGGTTGGAGGTTTAGAAACGGAGTTAAGTATTGGCGTGCCTCAAGGGGCCTTTGGAATATACAGGGGCGAGGTTTGAGAGCCTGTTGGATGATGATTTAGGTCCCCAGAAGCTACATGTAGATTGAAGATAGAGATATTTAGGTCATCACTGAAAAACATGCATGGGGGAAGAAACAAAGCTGTGCAGAAAACATGTAGCATAAGAAGGTGGCTCAGAATGGAACACTGGGGACCCCCCAGTTATAAGGAAAGAGGAAGATGTTAAACTTTTAGACAGGGAAGTGAAATCAATAACTTAATTTAGTAGTACAGTCAGCACCACTAAATCATGCTCCTAAAAGGAAGTAATTTTTTTTTATATTAGCAAGCAGAATTTATGGAGAGTTGGTTTTAGATTATTGGGTTTTATTTTTGCTATTTTTAAGCCTGCTTCATTTCATAATTTTCTTTTTATTTTATTATGAACATGTTCATTCTGTCGGCCTACTCTTACTCTTAACCCACCAAGAGAGCTCTCCAAGGGCAAGGGCTAACCTTTTATTTCTTGTCCTCTGTCTTTCAACCCAGTGCTTATCAAGTGCCTGGTGCTTGCTGGTACTCTCCCCATCCTGTATGAATGAGTGATTAAAGAAGTGGCATCTATTTATACCTCACCAAAGATGAGCTGTTCGTCTGGGGAAGCTTACCTTTCTTTCCAGACTATAATGAGGCTGAAATAGAAACTGAAGTGTTTCTCATTTCCAGCTTTCTCTCAACAGGCATTTTATTTTCTTCCTATAGGGGGTTCTCCTTACTCTTTCATATGTTAAACTTGGTGGTGTTATGTCTTTATCAGTGTTTAGCATCCTTGGATTCTTTAGCAGACAGATTTGTGCAAATGAAGAGTTTGGGGATGAGACTGTGGATTTGTGAAAAAGATGTTTTTATAGTAAATCTTTGGATGTTCACTTAGAGTGTCATCTGTGGCTAGTTTTTAACTCTACTCCAGCTTCCATAATTCCAATTAAAACAAGTAAAAATCATTAAATATGTTTCCTAACAAACACAAGGGATTTTGAATCATCTGTTATTTTAGACAACCTGTGTGCCTGATTTATTGTCATAAGAGTTGATGTCTGATGTAATGACTCAGTTCATTAGAGTTCAGCCCTGGCTCCCTCAAGAGATTTACAGCCTGAGATTTACAGTCACTGTTCAAAATAGTATGTCAAATTAGTCACATAAATAAAAACATTACAGAAGAGAAAAATCAGTGGACTTGAAGTTATCAGCAAAGATTTCAATACATAGGAAGAACTTACCCTGGGACTTAAATATGAAAAATTGACCAGCTTGGAAGGAAAAGGGGAGGTGGCACCACATAATGACATGAGGTCAAGCGAAGTGGCCAAAGTGCATAATGCAAACGGACTATGAGGAATGCTGGTGGCTAGAGCAGAGAATAGAGTCAAATATTATTTACTTGCTTTCATGGACATCTTCATGATGTGCTAATTATATAAATGCTTGAATTTTTAATCCCAGCTGTTTGCCAGTCTCCCTGTTTAAATGGTGGAAAATGCGTAAGACCAAACCGATGCCACTGTCTCTCGGCTTGGACTGGACATGACTGTTCCAGGTAAGACACCAAAGGCTAATGTTCATCTATAGCATAAAGAGAGCGAAAGGCAAGTTAAATTGCTCAAGAACCAGAAGGTATCTTTAGTGCGTGTGAGCATTTTGTATCCCAAGATATCCATTTTGAGATATACTGTCTAAATTGAATTGCAGCCAATGCAAAGAAATAGTTAAAGGCTGTCAAATAAAACTGATTTCTCAAAAAATAAATAATCCTGTGCTCACTTTGGGAGCATATATACTAAAATTGGAATAATACAAAGCAGATTAGCTTGACCCCACAGAAGGATAACACAAATTTGTTAAGCATTCCCCATTTTTCTGCATAACAGGGTTAAACAAATAAATAAACTGCCGTTTTGAATAGAAGATTATATTCTTTATATTCAAGGATGTAAGATAAATAATAAACAATTCATTTTACTGACATTTATTTGCATCCCCAGTTACAATAAAAATAACATTGAAATTGATGATAAAATTTTTTATTTCCAAAGTCAGAAATTTTGTCTTATATTTGTAGTATGTGTATATATTCAGTATTTAATTGACTGCAAGAAAGTTTATGTAAATATATTTTCTGTCAGTTGGTTTCTAATCTCTAACTAGATAAATATAGTTGAGAAAAAATCATCACAAAACGTAAGTCAAAGGGCCCTGACCAGTGTGGCTCAGTTGGCTGGGCATTGTCCCACAGAGCAAAAGGTTGCCGGTTCAGTTCCCAGTCAGGCCACATGCTTGGGTTGCAGGACTGGTTGGTTCCTAGTTGGGGCATGGACAAGAGGCAACCGATTGATGTTTTCCTCACACATTGATGTTTCTCTCCCTCTCTTTCTCCCTCCCTTCCCCTCTCTCTAAAAATAAATTTAAAAAATCTTTTCTGAAAAAGTCAAAGGAAAAATAGTTTAAAAAATAATTTAAGGTCTTTTAAAAAAATTACTGACTGCCATACATTATATTAGTTTCAAGTGTAAAACATCATGATTTGACCTGTATATTATTGAGAAATGATCACCTCACTAAATGTAGTTAACATCTATCACCATACATAGTTAAAATTTTTTCCTTGTGATGAGAACTTTTAAGATTTACTCACTCAACAACTTTCAAATATGCAATATATTATTAACTGTCATTAGTCATGATGCTGTACATTATATCCTTAAGACATTTATTTTACAACAGCATATTTGTACCTTTTGACTTCTTAATTCATTTCACCAACCCTCCATCCCTCCACTTTCACCTCTTGCAACCACCAGTCTGTTCTCTATATCTATGAGTTTGTTTTTGGTTTTGCTTTTTTCAGATTCCACACTTAAGTGAGATCATATGATCTTTGTTTTTCTCTGTCTGACTTCTTTTTTCTTTTTTCTCTTTTTTTTCTCTCTGTATGACTTATTTCAGTTAGCATAATACCCTCAGGGCCCATCCTTGTTGAAAATGGCAATATTTTCTTCTTTTTTATGGCCGAATAATATTCCCGACACAGAATTGCTGAATCATATGGCAGTTCTTTTTTTTTTTTTTTTTTTTTTGAGGATCCCCCGCTACTGTTTTCCATAGTAGCTGCGCCAATTTACATTCCCACCAATATTACAAGAGAAACTCCCAGGAACTCAGTTCTTCTCACCAAAGCAGTAAAGAATACCAGGCCAGCGAGCCTACTAGCGTACAAGCGAAGTTTATTAATGCTAAGTTCTAATAGGAAAGCAAAGCAAGCGTGGCCAGAGCAGGGGTGGCAAAAGTGGGTGGCCAGAGGCTGGGTGGCTGGAAGCCGAGTGGCCGAAAGGGGTGGCCAGGGGCCTCCCCACCACCAGGCGTCCCCCATGTGGCAAGAGAGCCCGGAGACCAAGAGAAGAGGCCAAGAGAGGAAAGCCCTTCCTTCTGAGGACTTACATAGTTGGTGAGGTGGGGAAAAGAAGTTACATTTTGACGGGTGGGGAAATGTGGTACCAGCTTTCCGGGGGAGACATGACTGCCTAAACACAGGTATGGGTGGGGATCTGTTAGCCCAGATCCTTATCTCGCTCCAAACTGTATTTGCTCATTTGGTATACGTGACGGGAAGCGGGCAGTTAGCTAAAATTGTCTCATGGGTTTTTTTCCTTGGGCACTGCAGCCCCTGCCCTGCCCGCCCTTGTCCTTTCCAGGCCTTGGGATGAATACAAAGTCTCAAGGCTTTTCTTTTCCCAGCCAGGAGAGATGATACACCCAGACTCCCAGGGCTTTCCCTGCCCTCCTACATTCTAGCAGTTTCACTTGTTGTTGAGGCTGCCTGGCAGCCTTGTCGGACCAGGCTCAGGACTCCTGGGTCAATATGTGAACTTTTGCTTTTAGCCTCCTGTAGTAAGTTCTTCTTCATTAGATTGCAATGGCGAGGGCCCTGCCTTTATTTCCCCTCTGACCACTCATTCTACCATAACACCAACAATGCACAAAGGTTCCCTTTTCTCCACGTCCTTGCCAATACTTGTCATTTCTTGTCTTTTTGAGAATAGCCATTCTGACATGTGCGAGGTGAAATCTCATTGTGGCTTTGATTTGCATTGTCCTGATGATTAATAATTTGAGCTTCTTTTCACCTGTATGTCCTCTTTGGAAAAAATGTCTGTTTAGGTCCTCTGCCCATTTTTTAATCAGATTGTTTGGTTTTGGTTGTTGAGTTATATGAGTTCTTTAGGTTTTGGATATTAACTCCTTATTGGATATATGATTTGCAAACATTTTCTTCTGTTCAGTAGGTTGCCTTTTCATTTTGTTGATCGTTTCCTTTGCTGTGCAGATGCTTTTTAGTTTGACATAGTCCCACTTGCTGAATTTTGTTTGTGTTGCCTAGCATTTGGTGTCAAATCCAAAAAATCATTGCCAAGGTCAGTATCAAGGAGCTTGCTTCCTATGCTTCCCCATTGTATATGCTTGGCTTCTTTGTTGAAAACAAATTGATCGTGTATGCATAGGTTTATTTCTGGGCTCTCTGTTCTGTTTCATTGATGTATGTGCCTGCTTTTATGCCAATTCTATACTGTTTTGATTACTGTCACTTTTTTAATATAGTTTGAGCTTTGTTCTTTCTTCTTTCTCAAGATTTAAACTTTTCTAAACCTCAGGAAATGTCAGATATATTGTACCATGGATAAAATATTTTCAATATTAGAATATTTTCCTCACAAATATTGCAATGTCAGAATGTTACCAGCTTTACTTTAAGACTCAGTATACATCATTGCATTACATCACTTAGAGTTGTATAATGTACATTTACTTCCATCTTTTGGGACTCATGCAAAAACAAGAGCTATATCCACATTCATTTTTAAAAATGGGAAATTCAGTTAACTGAAAACAACTCTTATTTTTCATTTCCTTTTATTTTGATTGGAATGTCAAAGTCAACCTGCAAAGACAAAAATCTATTTAAATACAAACAATTTTTTAAAAACTGCCCTGTGCCAATGAATTTCCTTATATCATCTCAGGCATATGCCATCTCTGCAGAAAGAAAAAAAAATAAACTGAACCCCAAAGAGCACATTTGGATTGTACAAGTATATTTAGAAGCTTCCGAGACAAAGATGATGGTTTTACCTAAGAGTAGAGTTGAAAAAAATTTTTAATAACGGGAATGAATTTCTGGGTAAAATGAGAGAAAGAGAAAAAAGAAAAGATAAAAAATAAGAATGGCAGTGACTCAAAAAGGAACAGGAAATACTCTTAACATTCTTCTAATTTTAGACTTTATATTTCAGTTCATTCAAAAAGACAAGAAAAAGAAACCCAGAGTTTGTGTGGTTCCCAAACATCAAAATACTCCCAAAGGAGACTTTCTTGACACAGGGAAGGCTGATTACTAGCTTATGTGAAAATGCTGTCTTCTAAAGAGAACAAAATTACATTTTATGCAAAAGCTTGATAAAGCAAAGCACAAAAAAAATGTGGCAAATTAAGCTGAGAAGTGTATCCCACATTAAGGGAAAGGTCAGCTTTAACCCAGAGGACTGATCAACTCCCCACATCCTCCCCCATTACACTGTGATCCATTTTTCTAGAAGATCTGTATTAGTCAGGACTCACTAATCGTCACTTTAACTAGCCTAACCAAAGAAAGTGATTTCTAATCACAGTAGAAGGACCTTGCATAGACCCCAATCACATGGAATGGCTGGGCATCAGGAGGATCAGACCGAAGACTTGAAAGCCACCTGAAGCCCCTCCGCCTCCTGTCTCACCTTCTCTCTCCAGCATCTGCTCCATGCTCACTCGCTGAAGAGTGGTTTTCTGTGCTGCTCAGTGCACATGGAATAACAGAACTGCTTACAGCTCTCACATTTTACATGCCGTACTACAGTGTCCTCAGAAATAGTGTGCTCTGATGCACTTTAAAAACCCAGGGGAAGAACTGACTAGTCCAGATGGACTCAGGGGCCCACCATGGATCAGTCAACTGTGGCCCCAGGTTGGGTTATGTTGAACATGAAGAGTCATTTTGTCAAAACTTTTTCTTACTTTTGGGTAAAGGGGAGAGGACGGGCAGTTCCCAGGAGAAAGAAGGGTGGAATGTAACTCCCTGAAATGGGAGGGAGAGAAAGCTTTTCTGAGAAACCAAAACAATAGATGTAAACAAATGATTTTTTATTTTCTTCTCTCCCATGAAATTGAGTACTTAATTCTGTGTCCCTTGTACTTAACAGAGGCGCAAAAATTAATGCACAGTAAATGCTTGTTGTCAGATGGAGAAATTTCTGCACATCTGTGAGAGCCTGTGAAGAAATGCCCTGTAGTGTTCATTAAATCCCTCAACCGGTAACTTTCTCTACTGATGAATACGACTGACCTGGTATTGTTCCCAGACAGTTCAGTCCTTAAGAAGAGATTGTGTTTCCTCTGATCTCTATGTGCCTCTTCAGAAAATTGATCCTAAACGAACACCATTAAATAAAAACTATAGATTGGTAATACTGTAAGAGACCTTTGGGTTCATGACGCCAAACCCCTCATTTTACAGATGAGAGTTTCATCAGACAAGAAACTAGTGACAGGGCCAGGAATAACCCAGGTCTGCTGATTCTCAGATCTTTTCATAAGTTAGCATGTGTTCTTCATGCCTCTTAGTTGTCTCAAGGAATGACTCCCATGCGTACAAACAACGTCATGGATAATGCCCAGGTATCTGAGACTTTTAGTCTTGTTTCAATCAGCCCCAAAAGGGCTATTACCTCTTTAGTTCAGTCTTTTCTGTTGAACCACTTTGTTTTTTGTTCCAGGAAAAGGAGGACTGGATTTTAACCACTGCACAACCAACCAGCTCTCCCAAAGCAAGA